TTTCCATTTCTAAACCAAATAATGTGGATTAAATTTAGAAAATATTTAATTTTGAAATTATCATCAGATATGAATAATTATTTTATAAAGTTGGCTGTCTTAGGTGATGTGTCCCTCCTGCCTTCAGCACTGCCTCCATTCCTCATGGCACAGACTGAAGCAGGTGTAGAAACCTTCACCCAAACACCAACAGCACAGTTTCTACTTGGTGGAGTTCCTGATGTTGGAACCTAGGAGGGAACCAGTGGTCATTGGGTTTTATTCCAGTTACCCTCCTCTGGAATCAAGGAGGCTGGTTCTTCCAGCTGCTGCTCACTGTGTTCTGCTGGAACCCTTCTTTGTGTGGAAGAACCAGCAGGTTCTGCAGTTTGGGGACCAGCCCACTCTTTATGCATGGTCCATGGTCCAGCTCTGGACAGGAGGACCTCGCTGAGGTAAAAGGAACCAATCAGAGGCTTCCAAAGCTATGACATCATCATCAGAGCTTCAATGGGTTCTTTAAAGGCGTATAAATCCTTATGTGACCTTCTGAGTGTGAAGCTGAATGTTTCTCTGACCGTCAGTGAGCAGCATTGATGCCGTTCATCCATTCTTAGGAAAGGTTTAATGTGAGCCTCATTCTCTCTTTTCTGATTTTCAGGCCTTCTCTCTGAGGGATCCTGAACACCAAGCCTGGTTTCTAAGTTTAAACAGATAAACAAACATCTCTGCCATATGAGGCCCCGTTTTACCACATGTCTTGCTGTAAATGTTGGCTTTATTTCCTCTGTTTTTCTCCCTGGGGCTTCAGGCTGTTATAAATCATGCCCTGCTTTGCCTTTACCAAAGAAACTCTTCAGGGTATGAAGAAAGAAGAGGAAACCAGAGCAGATGTGGCCCAACATTCCTCCTCGGCTCTGTCCCAGCTTGTATGCGAGTGAGCGAACTGCTGCAGCTCTGCACTCTGTCCCGGCCGTGTCAGCAGCACCGGGCCGGGGGTGTGTCAGTCAGTGAGAGGCAGAGCCTGGGGAGGAGTCTGAGGACAAGGGAGAGTCCAGTGGAAAAAGGGGCTGATAGAAAATCCCCTGAAGGCTGCAGTTTGATGCCACAACATCCAGTTCTGCTCGTCTTCTTCTCCAAACTGGTCTGATCCTGGGAGCCTTCAGAAGAGCAGAACAAAAGATACATGCAGGAGAGGAATAGGAACAAGGAAAGGATTCAGATAGTTTGAAAGTTTGACCCAGTCTCACCTCCTCTGATCCATCGGCATGGCAACTATGGAAGTACTGGAGTCCTCGAGCGCCCTGATGGAGCCTCAATCCCTGACAGAAATCTCAGAAGATGAGATCCACCTGCCTCCTTCAGATGAAGAAGATAACGCCCTGGCTGCCGCCAAGAAAGATCTGCACACCGCAGAGGAACCCGACCAGGAGCAGAACGGGGCTCAGGCTTCAGACACACAAGTTAACGGGGTGATGGTTCTGTCTTTGCTTGACAAGATCATCGGAGCGGTGGACCAGATCCAGCAGACCCAGAGTGGGCTGGAGACCAGACAGCAGGAGATGGAGCGCACGGTGACCAGCATCCAAGGCGAGCTGACCAAGCTGAGCAAGAACCACAGCACCACATCCAACAGCGTCAACAAGATGATGGAGAAGGTTCGCAAGGTCAGCATCAACGTGAAGACCGTCCGAGCTACGCTGGAGAAGCAAGGGAGCCAGATAAAGAAGCTGGAAACCAACGAGGCAGAGCTGCTGAAGAGGCGCAACTTTAAAGTCATGGTTTACCAGGTGGGTTAGTGAGTCTGCATGACAACAAGCAGAGACAGGCTTCTCCTGTCCAACTCCCAGCATGTTCATGGGGATGGGTGTGGCCCTCCTCCAGGCTGGAGATCAAGCTCCAGAAGCATCAGTGGAAAAATGACAGAGTTGGTGCTCAGATTAAAGGCAGGGCAGCTGTCCACCTCCTCCTTTAGAGAACCTGACATGCAGAAAAATCTCCAAAGATTCTCTGGTTGAAATGAGCTTCCTGGGTTCCTTCATTAGAGTCAGAAGCAGATCTACTTCTATAGATCTTTGTGCCGCTGCAGTTTTTAAATGTTGATAACAGAGAGAAGGAAAATGGACAGAATTCATTAATGAAAGATGCATTTCCCTTTTCATTCAGATCATTTATTCCATTATTGGTGCAGCAAAAAAAAAAAAAAAAAAATCAAGAAATTAAACTTTTAAAAATGTTTTAATCTAAAATTATTTGGGAGTAACTTTACTGTTTCCTCTGATTCAGTTTTCCATATATCTTTGACTTCTTTATAGATTTGATCTTTTCAAACGTTATCATTTAATTTATTATTATTATTATTGGTTTAAGAGATTTAGATTCGATTTTTTTTAGTAGAATTTCAGTTTTTCAGATTGAGTTTTATGAATAGCATTTTTTTGCTTTTAAACTGCGTTTACCAGCTTAATCCAAGCACTCGCTCTGGACCAATCAGAAATGTTCTTTCTAACATCATCAGACCAATAGAAATCCGTCTTTGCTCCTCTGTCCAGAGGAAGCACCGCCCACAGGAGGGAAGGGAATGGGATGCGTGATTTGAAGAGAATGCAGAATAAAAACTTTATGCCAAGAACAGAAATTTGATAAAACACACACACGTATATATATATAAAGACATAAAATATTTAAACTGAAAAAAAATCTATATATTTTTTTTAATTTAACATAAAAAACTAAACAGAGAAAATCACAATCTTAATTTAATTACATTTCTTTCAGATTTAAATGTATTTATTTTTTCATTTCTAAAACATGTTGTTGACTTGAACCAACAATGGAGCGAATCCACGCCATCGGCGTGTAGCTGGCGGCCATGTTGGCCCTCCGTCCGATTCTGATTCAGTCCAAACCACTGGGAGCCTGACCACTCTGTATCCTCAGACAGCGTACCAAGCACAGATATGAGTGTGATGGGCGTGCTCTCAGGCACCTACTCGTGCACATAACCCTGAAGCCTGTGCAAAGTGCGTTTCACCAGGAATGAAACCCACTGAGGGGAGAAATGAAAGCCGTTTTCTTTATTTGAGAAGGAGAGAAAAGCGTGTGAGGGAAGCCCAGACCTTTTTTAGACTATGAGTTCATTGTGTGTGTTTTTTCTAACTGTGGTGCGAGAACATTCAGATTTTCCACCCTGACTCAGACCACCGCCCCCCTCCAGCAGCTTGAGTACATTTCAGGTCAGGTAACAGAGTGACTGATGCAGAGACGTTGCTGTTATGTTGACATGGCAGCAGGAGACAGATGAACAGGGCGGAGCTTCAGCTCCTCATTCCACAGTATTTCATTCAGTGATGTTTCTCAATCCGTCTGCATCATAAATCTGTTGCCAAACCGCAGAGCTATGGCTTCACTACTTTCCAATGCAATCTGTTTCAAACAGGCAGAAAACTATAAACATTTGGGGGTTTTGCAAGAGTTTGGTTCTGTGGTGAGTTAGGCTCCGCCCCTACTGTTGCTTCGGGCTCCTCACTAACTCAAAACATGGAGTTCACGTTCGGCTGCCAGAAAACCAGGAATCCATCATGGATAACTGTGCTCGCTGCTCTGCTTCTAATTTCATGAGTTTCTTCTCTCCTCTGAGCTCAGATTGGTTCAAACCGGCTCAGGATTAAAATACTCTAGATTATCCGACATGGGGGGGTGAGTCTTATCCTCTGACTGGAGAGTTTTATCAAGAACGGAGATTTTTAGAGTTGTTCACAGGAAAAGTGCTCGGCTGTTTGGGACGTCATGGTCTGAAGTTTGTGTTATGAAAGCGCTCCTTTTAAAAAGGTAAAGTTAGATTGGTGCAGAATGCAGACTAGCTAACGGAGCGACAGCCTATCCATTGATTATCCAGCTGCTGTTGGCCCTCAGAGTTACTCAATGAACAGGAAAGCTCTTCTAAGTGATTATGTTCTGCACAGAAACTTTGAGGCAAAAGCTGGACAGAAATTCAAACTCAGATCCGCATTTTGCTTCAACCTTCCATCAAAGTTAAAAAATACAAATAAATCTTTCTAAACTAGCTGCTGAGCTTTCACACCTCTGCTCTCCGTGTCTATTAATCAGTAACAATAACACCTAAGAGCTTTTATTCATTATTGCTGCTTTTAAAAAAGGCCTTTCTTGTAAAAAAATAGAAAGCAGATCCTCATGATCTCCTGACTGCTGCAGGAAGCAGTGTCCCAATCAGGAGCCCTCCTCCTTTTTCTCTTCTCATAAATCCTGTCAGCATTTATTTTCCCTCAGGGATGAGTACATGGAAGAAGCTGCTAGATCCGCTCCTCTCTACTGTTTCTCATCCTCACATCAGCCTGGTTCTGGTTCTGTTGTTGGCTTCTTCCTGGTTCCTTCCCAATGTCACCGCATGCAGGAACCAGAGGAGGGACCAAGTCAAAATTTGGCAAAGTCTGCAGTCAATTCAAAGTGGAAACAGTCAGGAACCGTCTTCAACAAGACAGTGACCTAAACAACAGGACTAAATTCACTCCAGACCGGATCTGCTTCCTACTGGACCTTTGCCTTTCCACCTATATCAAGTTCAGGGATAATTTTTACAGACAGAAGCATGGTTGTCATGGGATCTCCAGTCTCACCAGTTGTAGCCAATCTTTACATGGAAGAAATGGAACATAGTTTACTTGTGTTCTCTAACATCTGATGCCTCCGTAGAGCCGGAGAGCAGCTGTGTTTACCAATAGGATGAGTTTTTTTTTAGCAAACTGGTAGCAATAGATCAAATGAACAGGGACTGAACACAGACACATCAACTTGCAGTTGTGAGCAAAATGTTAGAAATAGCGTTGAGTTCCAAGTTTTATACAGTAGCCCATTAAAGCCTCGTTTTGGTTTGGAAAACATGCAAATAGAAATGGACGAACGGGTCCCGCCCTTTGGAAGGGGGGTCGTTTGGGTTCTTTGTTAGCCTGCAATGCCCCATACGAAGCCAAACGACCCCCGTTCCGTCCGTTTCCAATTGCATGTTTTCAAAACAAAAACAACGCTATTCCAAACATTTTGAATTGAAAAAGCTTCCTGGATGGGAAGAGAAACGTCTTCAAACTTGGAAACAAAATCCAGAGGATTGCTTTTAACTTTTTTGGAAAGTCAAAGTTAAGAGAATCAGGTCCTTTTTAGTGTCAATAGAGATCCTAAGAACCAACGAGCCAATAACAAACCCCCCCCCGTGCATGGTTTGGATAATGCGAGCTGCAGGGAGCGTCCAGATGAAGAGGTGCACTGTGTGGAGGTGCACAGGGAGTGTGACTCTGCACAAGGAGTGGATGGGTGTGTGATGATGAAGAGCAGGGAGCATATTTAGACAACTGAATCATAGCAGAGGAATTTCCATCTCTTCCCTTCAGCTAACAAGCCACTGAACCAAGTCTTCTCTATTTTTTTTTATCATATTTTTATTGTTGTTAAAACAGATGTACAATGCCATTCAAATATACCAAAATGAAAACACTTTACATTGAGACTTGTTTACTAGCGAGAAGGGAGTTTTGTAAGTTTGTCAAAATAACCCAATAGAGGGTCCCATACTTTCAGAAATTATTTCACTTTTTCAATTCTTTAGGAATATCATCATATCTGAGAGCCACATTGATGCCTTTCTTATTCCAGAAGTATTCTCCTTTGAGCGATCAGAGTTGCGAAAGCAATAACATTTTCCTTTCTAGAAATCGCAGCGTCAACCCCAAAAACAGCCATTACAGGACCAGGTTTTAGATGTAGGCCAAACGCATCGTTTAAAATCCCAAATAATGAATTCCAAAACTCTTTCAGCTTAGAGCATGACCAAAACATATGAGCTAAGTCTGCGTTGGTGGCTCTACAGCGATTACACGTTCCATCTATTTCAGGATATATTTTGGCAAGCCTGACTTTGCTATAGTGAGTACGGTGGAGAATTTTAAACTGAATCAGATTGAGACGTACATAAAAAGTACCGTTCACAAGGTTAAGAGCTCTAGCTCACATCTCTTCTGAAATGACTATACCTAATTGTTCTTCCCATTAAGTCTTCTCTATTAACAGCATCTGCTCTCTGAGGCCTGCGACTTTCCAACTCTGCTTTATTAAAACCATTTTGAACTCCAGTTAAAAATGGCTGTTATGCTGCAATCCTGTTTTTGTCGCAGAAAAGAAATTCTGAAAGTTTGCGTAGAAAAGATGTTTGTAGTATGGGGCGTAGATCCTTTTTAGCCCGAGGCTAATTGAGACGACCAGAGAGTCAGAGTGGAGCGGTGATTAGAGGTGGAACCGCGGCCACCGGGAGGAAGGATCAGGGTAGAGACTGTAGCAAAAGAGGAAGGGTGTCAGCACAACCTTCAGCTCTTTTCCTGAAGGCTGTAGTCCTCATTTAACTAGCATCACCCATTCAGTCACGTAATGACGTCTGTAAGGCTGGAGCTCCTCTCCTACCCTGGATAGAGATCTACTGTGGAGCCGTGGCAGCTGGAGAAAATTTCACCTTCAGGCAATGAGACAATCTGGCAGAGACTGACTGTGAGAGTCAGGTATAAATATTTGGGATAAAAGCTGATCACCTGCTCTCTCTGATTATCTGAAGCAGAGGAGAGGCAAGCAGCCAGCCCCAAAAGCTACAAAACAAAGGCAGGCTGCATGAGATTAAATCTTTTATCACCAATGCTGATATAGAGATGGTTCAATGTTTAGATTCAATATCTAATTTTTCATTAGTCTTGACTTGGTCTGAACCCCTAAAGGCATCAGTCTCCATCTC